GTGCTAGCAAGGAAGAGTAACATTACACAAGGACAGAATACACAAAAGACATGGACCCTTCTATGTTGTTGGATGGTAAACTATTGAGGCACTGCTAGAAGTATAGTACGGAGGTCAAGGAAAAAGGAGATGAGGAACAAACTGGTAATTTTAACTGAACAGAATTACGAATAAATTGTAATACCTTCTCAACGTCAGTATAATAATAATTAATGCATTGTAACCCCTTTAGGACTGAGCCAATTGTACAAGTTGGGATCAAAATAAAATGTAAACAAAACACGGAATGTGCGCTATATGTCTGTTCAACCGGAATTCAACTCTTTCATATTTAGTGCACAGACACTTATTATATATAATTTTATTTAGGAAAAACAGGGTTTTCATTTAACATCAAATATTTAGCTAATGAACATAATTTAATGTGAATAAAATATTTAAAAAAATATGAAATGTTCTTTTTTTAGTTCTGCATGGAATTTTAACTGTGACTGTCATAAAACTGTTAGCTGTTACTGCAATAAAGTACACATATTTGTATTCAGTGATGTCCCACAAGTAAAACAATACCCCCCATGTACAGGTTTTATGGTGTTTTGGAAAGTTAAAGGATTATATATAGCATGTTACATTTTTCAGTTTACACACATTCAAATTTCTCCAGGAATGAGAATCACCCCCATGATAGCATACCATTTGCAAAAGTAAACAACCCAAGGTATTAAAAATGGGGTATGTTCAGGCTTTTTAGTAGCCACTTAGTTATAAACATGGCCAAAATTAGCATTCATATTTGTGTGTGAAAAATGCAAAAAAAATAATTTAAATGCTAATTATGGCCAGTGTTTGTGACTAGGTGGCTACTAAAGAAGACAGGACATACCCATTTGCAATACCTTGGGTTGCCTACTTTTGCAAATGGTAAGCCATCATGCGGGTAATTTTCATGTCTAGGCTACTATATGGTCAACAATCAATCTTGCAAAAAACTGAAATGCAAGCATTATATTTGACTCTGTAACTTTTTAAAACATCATAAAACCTGTACAAGGGGGGTACTGTTATACTCAGGAGACTTCGCTGAACACAAATATTAGGGTTTGTGAACAGTAAAACTTATCACAACAATGATATCGTCAGTGAAAGTGCCTTTTTTGTGTGAACAATACAAAAACGCCACTTTAACTGATGATATCATCATTGCGATACATTTTACTGTTTTGAAAACCTAAAATCTTTGTTCACTGAAGACTCCAGAGTAAAACAGTACCCCCATGTACAAGTTTTATGGTGTTTTCGAATCTTGTTAAATATAGTGTTTGCAAAATACATTCTCTGGACTTTCTGCCTGGGTTGTCAGGCAGGTCCCCCAAATTGTAATTAATAAAATCACTTAATTATGTATAAATATTACAGAAATATACACATAGAATTTAAATATATATATATATAGCTATTTAAATTCTACATGTATATTTATGTGATTATTTATGCAATTATATTTTTATATATATTTTTTAAATTATATGTATATATTTATATATCTATTTATTTATAATAGATAATAGATCTATTTATATATATTATTTCATTCTAAGTGTATTTTGAAACGTATATACATATATATATATATATATATATATATATATATATTCTTATCTTCTTATCAAAATACAGTTAGGATGAAATTATATATATGTTGGAATATATTGGCCCTTTATAAATGCCAGTAATAATAATATAGCACTAGGATAGAATGTGGAGTCAAAAAGTAACTTTGCCTAGATTTATCATCAAATAAGTCAACATCATGATTTCACATACCTGAATTCACAAATGTGTGCAGTAGCCCCTCCTTAAAGAAATCTCTACCAAGTAATTGACGTCTCATGATGTGTATTAAACAGAGACACAGATTGCCTCTCTCAATTCTTCCCTGTGTAGCAATGTGAAATGACTTCCATAATTCAACTGTCTACTCAAGGTTTGAACTCCTATGGACCAAATATTAATCATTCAGCATACAAAATAGGTTGTCCTGAATTTACTTACCTAATATCCAGCTTCCTATCCTTCATTTGTACTTTTCAAAATGTGTCACAGTTTACTTGATTGCTATTATCAGTCTTTGGGTTCTAGTTTACAACTATCACAACATTTTTGCCAGCCATTATGTAGTGATACATGATTGTGGAATATGAAATAATAGAACACTTACTTATAGATTAATTGCAAAAGTCAAATGTACACATATACACAAAATGTTTTTGCCAGTCCATGTATACCATGTATCCCATGTAAAGCATTATAGAAAAAAGGGCTTGGTCCTATTAACAAGGTAAAGGGATACTCCTAGCACTACAACTACAAATATGCATCTGATGCACTACAATGAGATAATTACTCCTACTTTTCCAAATGATAACAACAGATGCACCACTTGTGCAACAATACTCTGCACTGTTGCTTTACCCAATTGTCTCTCTATTCCAAAATGAAGTGGTGAGACACTTAGTAAGATGTGTATAGCTGTACACTTTCAAAACACATGTGCAGTATTTTCTCAATACACAGTGCAGCATCGAGTGTCTTCTGTTTAATTATATTCACTTGAATTGAAGTCCTTGTGACTGTCATTCGTTCCTATACTATAGACACTACATAAACATGCACGTGACATGTTCAGCCACTTCTTGGTTTAAGCAGATGTCACTGGTGGAGGATCAGAGCCCAGTGATTGCCTGCAGTCAAGACACAATCTGTGTGTTATTTTATTTTATTGTAGATACTCTTCCAAATAAATGTTTTAACTATTTATCATTTTAAAGCAATTTAAATGTAGGTTAATTCCTGTTACATCTGTAATCATGACAGTTTTGAATTAGCCCTCATTAGAAAGAGACAAAGACATAAAGGATGTTTACTATAGTGAGAATTCAAGATGAATTTAACCCCTTAAGAACACATGATGGAAATATTCCATCATGATTCCCTTTTATTCCAGAAGTTGTGTCCTTAAGGGGTTAAAGTGAATTCCAAATTTAAGGAATAAAATAGCCAAACTGGAAAAAATGATCTCAGTAATGCTTCCAGTCTGATTACTGTGTCCATACATTTGAAATTCACTCTGAATTCTGACTTTAGTGAATAGACCTGATAGAGAGAAACAAGCAAAGAGTGAAAGAGAGACACAAAGAAATATAGAATGAAAATAGACACAAAAACATAAATTGATACTGAGAGAAAGCTACTGAGTGCTGTCTATTTTAACTAACATTGCCATGATAACCTTTGATATTTCTGATAATTCTGTTTTATCTGTATACCTGGGAGTTTAGGTCAAGGCCAAATCAGAGTAGAAGTAGCATGTATGGCCAAAAAAGGGATGAAGTCAAAAGTCAAAGGGAGAAGTAGGATAAAGAAGCAGAAGGAAACCAAGAGAAAAGGGAAGTGGGAGCTTATACTATCTCATCACCAATTATGCACGTTTCTGTCTAGATGGAATATTTTAAGCATCTAAAGTATCCTGAGTGTTTGGGTCTTGATCTTTGGGTCTAGGAGCTCTCCACCTGTCTTGGTTTAACCCCTTACGGACACATGACATGTGTGACATGTCATGATTCTTTTTAATTCCAGAAGTTTGGTCCTTAAGGGATTAATAAGTGCTGCATACACTCTACACCATTTGCATATGTTATAATCCCCCTGTAATAATCATATCCCCTTACTACAGCACTTATCCCGCATAACAGTCCCTAATCAACCAACCCCACACTACAGTCTCTATCCCCAATTAAAACACTATACCCCCTCTACAGTGCCTTTCCCCCATTAGAGCCATTGTTGCCCATTATCGCCCTTATCTCCCCACTACAGCCCCAGTCCCACGTGCTATGACTTCTGTCCCCCACTGAAGCCCCCATAACAACCCTTTCTGTAACACATGTATGTGGGCGTGATGTATATTTGTGTATCTTGCAAGTTGGTGGGTACACGAGGGCCCCATGATCTCCTATTACCCAGGGAACCCATGAGTCTGTCCCTGTTAGTCCTTTCCCATAGGAAAGCATTGACTGAACACTTTTCTATAGAAGATTTGAAAATGCTGGATGTCCTCATGCAAAGCATTAGGCTGTTCAATGTTGTATCACAGAGTTAAACTCAATGAAAGGCAAGAAAGCGCCTCTGTCTCTGAAATTGCTGGCTTATAGGGGCAGGGACATTGCACCCAGACCACTATAGTCTCATTTAACTAAAGTGAGAATCCAAAGTGGATTTCAAATTGACTTTAGTAAATAACTTTGTAAGTAAACTTTCCAATAACCATTTTATTCTGCTTTTGTATCTTTTTTAAATGTGCATTATGTCCAGTACCTAAAATATTTCTTGTTTGGGTGGATCATTCTCCAAATATTAAATTTCATTTTCTATGAGATCATTTAGAAGAGGTTTTATGTTTTAGCACATTTTCAGTGCTAAAGACTACTCTACTTTTTTTCTTAC